AGGCTCTCGCGTTCTTGCCGCCAACCCTTACTAGTTGTAGATGTCGGTCGCGGGGGGGGGGCAGGGAAGAGTTCCCAACCATCCTGTGGTGTTGGGCCCTCGTTTTGAAGAGACAGCGCCCCGCGTCACTCCTCTCCTTCTCTCCCCCTCCCTCCTCTTCTTCTCATCATCATCATCATCAGCAGCAGCAGCAGCAGCATCATTCTCATCCTCATCCTCATCCTCATCCTCATCCTCATCCTCATCATAATCATCATCATCGATATCGTAATCATCATCATCGTCATCATAACCATCATCGTCGTCATCATCATCATCACCGTCAGCATCCTCCTCCTCCTCCTCTTCATCATCATTATCGTCGGTGCACCCCTCGCGATGATCGTGGCCCCATAGGGAGCTCCACAGAAGGCCCCAGTGGCACAGCCCGCATGCGTCACGCACACCCATTGCGGCACACCCCTCACACGTTTCGTGGCCCCGTAGGGAGCTCCGCGGAATGTCCCCAGTGGCGCAGCCCGCATGCGTCACGCACACACACACACACACATTTTGGCACACCCCTCACACGCTTCGTGGCACCCTAGAGGGCTCCACCGAAGGTCCCAGTGACGCAGCCCGCATGCGTCACGCACACCCATTCCAGCACACCCCTCACACGTTTCGTTGCCCCATAGGGAGCTCCGCCGAAGGTCCCAGTGGCGCAGTCCGCATGCGTCACGCACATCCATTGCGGCACACCCCTCACACGTTTCGTGGCCCCGTAGGGAGCTCCACCGACCGCCCCAGTGGCGCAGCCCGCATGCGTCATGCACACCCATTGCGGCACACCCCTCACACGTTTCGTGGCCCCATAGTGAGTTCCACCGACGGCCCCAGTGGCGCAGCCCGCATGCGTCACGCACACCCAGTGCGGCACATCCCTCACACGTTTCGTGGCCCCGTAGGGAGCTCCACCGACCGCCCCAGTGGCGCAGCCCGCATGCGTCACGCACATCAGTTGCGGCATTCCACTCACACTTTTCGTGGCCCCCGAGGGAGTGCCACCGAAGGTCCCAGTGGCGCGGCCCGCATGCGTCACGCACAACCAGTGCGGCACACCCTCACAAGTTTCGTGGCCCCGTAGGGAGCTCCACCGACCGCCCCAGTGGCGCAGCCCGCATGCGTCACGCACATCCATTGCGGCACTCCACTCACACTTTTCGTGGCCCCCGAGGGAGTGCCACCGACGGTCCCAGTGGCGCAGGCCGCATGCGTCACGCATCACCCAGCACAGCGTTTCGTGGCCCCATAGGGAGCTCCACCGACGGTCCCAGTGGGACCGCCCGCATGCGCCACGCACCACCCAGTACAGCGTTTCGTGGCCCCACATGAAGCTCCACCGAAGGCCCCATGTGACCGCCCGCATGCGTCCCGCACCACGCAGTACAGCGTTCTGTGGCCCCATATGGAGCTCCACCGAAGGTCCCGTCCCGGTGGAACCGCCCGCATGCGTCTCGCACCACCCAGTACAGCTTTTCGTGGCCCCATAGGAAGCTCCACCGAATGTCCCAGCGCTACCGCCCGCATGCGTCATGCAGCATGCACCACGCAGTACAGCGTTTCGTGGCCCCATATGGACCTCTAGCGAAGGTCCCAGTGCCATTGCCCGCATGCGTCACGCACCACCCAGTACAGCGTTTCGTGGCCCCATGAGGAGTTCCACCGACGGTCCCAGCGTAACCGCCCGCATGCGTCACGCACCACCCAGTACATCGTTTTGTGTCCCCATAGGGAGCTCCACCGAAGGCACCAGTGTTACCGCCCGCATGCGTCACGTACCACACAGTACAGCGTTTCGTGGCCCCATCTGGGGGCTCCATCGATGGCCACAGTGGGACCGCCCGCATGCGTCACGCACCACCCAGTACAGCGTTCCGTGGCCCCAGAGGGATCTCCACCGAACGCCCCAGTGGCACCGCCCGCATGCGTCACGCACCACCCAGTACAGCGTTTCGTGGGCCCATGAGGAGCTCCACCGACGGCCCCAGTGCCACGCCGCATAGGGAGCTCCACCGACGGCCCCAGTGCCACCGTTCGCATGCGTCACGCACCACCCAGTACAGCGCTTCGTGGCCCTATAGGGAGCCCCACCGAAAGCCCCAGTTGCACCACCCGCATGCGTCACGCATCACCTAGTACAGCGTTTCGTGGCCCTAAAGGGAGCTCCACCGAAGGCCCCAGCGGCACCGCCCGCATGCGTCACGCACCACCCAGTACAGCGCTTCGTGGCCCCATAGGGAGCTCCACCGACGGCCCCAGTGGCACCGTTCGCATGCGTCACGCACCACCCAGTACAGCGTTTCGTGGCCCCATAGGGAGCTCCACCGACGGCCCCAACGGCGGTGTCCGCATGCGTTTCCCCACCTAGTGCAACGTTTCGTGGCCCCATAGGGAGCTCCACCGAAGGTCCTAGCGCTACCGCCTGCATGCGCCCCCCGTACCCAGGACACTTTTCGTGGCCCCATAGGGAACCTCACCGACGGCCCCAGTGCTACCGCCCGCATGCGTCCCCCCCCCCCCCCCACCCACCCAGTACAGCGCGTCGTGGTCCCATAGGGGGCTCCAGCGACGGCCCCAGGTGCACCGTCCGCATGTTTCCCTACAAAAAACGTTTCGTGTCCACCAGAGGCCCTATTGCCCCTTTCCGCATGCGTCCCCCCCACCCAGTACGGCGCTTTGTGGCCCCATCGGGAAATCCACTGAAGGTCCCAGTGGCACCGTCCGCATGCGTCTCCCCCACCCAGTACAGCGTTTCGGGGGCCCATAAGGAGCTCCACCGAAGGCCCCACTGGAACCGCCCGCATGCGTCCCGCACACCCAGTACAGAGCTTCGTGGCCCCATGCGGCGCTCCACCGAAGGCCCCAATGACATCGTCCGCTTGCGTCACGCCAGTACAGCGTTTCGTGGCCCCATAGGGAGCTCCACCGAAGGTCCCAGTCGACCGTTCGCATGCGTCACGCCCCACCCAGTACTGCGAATTGCGTCCCCATCGGGAGCCACACCGAAGGCCTCAATGGCACCGTCCACATTGCGTCCCCCCACCCAGTACAGCTTTTCGTGGCCCTGTAGGGAGCTCCGCGGAAGGCCCAGTGGCAAAGTCCACATGCGTTTCCCCCACCCAGTGCAGCGTTTCGTGGCCCATCGGGGGCTCCACCGAAGGCACCAGTGGCACAGTTCGCATGCGTCCCCCCCGGCCAGCACAGCGTTTCGTGGCCCATAGGGAGCTCCACCGAAGGCCCCAGCGGCACCGCCCGCATGCGTCACGCACCACCCAGTACAGCGTTTCGTGGCCCCATACGGAGCTCCACCGAAGGCCCCCGTGGCAAAGGTCGCCTGCGTCTCCTCCACCAAGTGCAGCGTTTCGTGGCCCATAGAGAGCTCCACCGAAAACTATACCCACAACTGCGGTACTCACAACTACGTATGGTTGTGTCCTTCGCCTGGCTATTTTTTTGCGCTGCGGCGCGGTGCTCAAGATCTTGCTCTGCTACATCCCCCCCCGCGAGTCAGGTATGTTCGTTTCGATGCTAGCGATACAGCAGAGGGGGCTCCTTAAGCGCTTCAGGAGGTTACGTGGCGCATGTGTCCATCCGCCTTCTCCCTCTATCCCTCCCATCCCTCCATCCCTCCTCCTCCTCCCCTTCCTCCTGCTGCTTTTCCTCCTGCTGTTCCTCCTTCTCCTCCTCCTCCTCCTCCATGGCGTATCCTTCCCTCCATCCCTCCATTCCTTCATCCCTCCTCTCCGCAACGCCGCCCATCGGCGAGTGCGGCCTCGGCGTCCTCGGCCCCAGGGACGGCGCCCTGGGACCGCCCCCGCCCCCTTCCCCCCGCCCCCCCCCCCTCTCGCGAGCCTCGTCGGCCGCCGTCCCCCGACGAGACTTGTCGGTCGCGGCGCCTGGGGTCGCTCTGCGTCCACAGTCTAAACCGATCGCAAGGATCACCACCCACCAAACCACTCCAACCCAACCCGAAGGCTCAGATTTATCCTCGATTTCCAGTTGGGGGGGGGGTCGGGAAACGTCGAAAAAACACGTGTGGAACCCTTACCCCCCCCAACCCGAAATTCGGGTCTTCGGGTTGGGTTGGGGTGGTCTGGTAGGCAGTCAGTTTCCTCCTTGCCTCCTCGGCCCGTCCCTGGCCAGTTTCAATGGCCAGCCCTGCTCGAGGAGCCTCACCACGGGCGTGCAAGGGGCTTGCATCCTCATCGCGAACTCCTTAACCATCAGTCTCGACGGTACTTCGTTTACCTCCTTCCCCGTCCTCCCTCCTCTCTCCTTCCCTCCCTTCGGCGGCGAGCCCGGGTGGGAAATAAGAATAAACGGGCCTTCTCTGAAGGTTCGGAAGCCGCCCCGGCCTTCCGAGAAGCTTTCTCTCTACGCCTCCACCGAAGGCGCAGACGGCTCCTCTCAGGAGGCGCGAGAGGGCTTCCGAGGAGCCCCGCCGCGCCTTTTGAGACGGCCCTCTCCTCCTCGCTTCCCCCCCTCGCTCGCCGCCGAGAGTTCAGTTCTCGGGTCGTTGCTCGGATCTCCGGCGGCCGTTCCCTCCTCCCTCCTCCCTCCTCCCTCCTCCCTCCTCCCTCCTCCCTCGGGACGATCTGGGCACCCCCGGAACGCCCTCGGAGAGGCACAGCCGCTGGAACGCTTCCCGAGGGCGGCAAACCGCCGAGAAACTACGAGACCGCCCGACAACCTACAGTCGGCCCGGACTAGCAGGTCGACCCTGCCAAATCGAGGGTACCTTTGTGTCCTGCGTCTCGCGACCCGAGCCTCCTGCACTCCTGTGGCCATGTGGCCCTCGGAGGGGTCTTCCGTCCTCTCGCGTGTCCTGTCCGATCAAGTCCGACTGTAGAACCTCGGGGCTCGAACCTCGAAGTTCCCCCCCCCCCGCTCGCCGCCGGTCCCTGCCTCTCCCCCCCCCCCGCCGCCCCCCCGCGGCGCGGGGCCTCCGCCCGGCAGAGGTCGACCTGATGGGCCTGGACGCGCCCGCCCCGCAGGGGCCCGCGGCGGCCGCAGCCCCGGAGGAGAGCGGGGCGGTCCGCCCCGCGGCCCCGCCGCGCAGGGTGAAGTCGGGCATGGCCCCTTCCGCAGGGCGAATGCTCAGGAGCAGTCCAGGAATGGTCAGGGGACGAGCTTTCGATGATTTCCCAGCCATCCTCTGGCGTTGGGTCCCCGTCTTGAAGAGACGGTCCCCGCGTTCCTCCTCCTCCTCCTCCTCCTCCTCCTCCTCCTCCTCCTCCTCCTCCTCCTCCTCCCGCTGCCAGATCGGCGCCCTCCCTTCCGCGCAGGCGCACGCGCGCGGCCTGGGCATGTCCCTTCCACAGGGCGAATGTTCAGGAACCGTCTTGGGGGCCTCTTGGAGGCCGTCTTGGGGCCCTCTTGGGCCGTCCTGGGGCCCTCTCGGCGGCCTCTTGGGCGATCTTCCGGCGGCGGTCTTTTGGGGCTCTTGGGCCGTCTCGGGCCGTCGGAAGGCCGAAAAGAAGCAAATGTCAAAATCCGTCAGTTTTTGAAGGAAAATCAAAAAGTTTTAAATCCGTCAATTTTTGAAGGAAAATCAAAAAGTTTTTGGCCTGTTCTGGCTTTCCTGCAGGCCCTCTTGGGGGCCTCTTGGGCCGTCTTGGGCCAGCTTCGAGCCATCTTCGGCCATCTTGGTGGGTTCCTGGCACGTCTGACGCCGTCGGGAGCCGTCTTGGGGGCCTTTCTGGGCCGACTTGGGGCCCTTTGGGGCGCTTCGGGGCCGTCTTGGAGGCCATCTTGGGCGTCTTGGAGGCCATCGTGGGCGTCTTGGAGGCCTCTTTGGCCGTCTTCGGGCCCTCTTGGGGCCGTCGTGGGAGCCCCTTGGGCCGTCATGGGGCCGTCTTGGAGGCCTCTTGGGCGATCTTGGGGGCCTTTGGCGCCGTCTTGGGCCGTCGGAAAGCCCAAAAGGCGCAAATTCCAAAACCCTTCAATAACCCAAGGTCTATCAATGATTTTGGCCTCTTCGGGCCTTCTTGGAGGCCCTCGTGGAAGCCTCTTGGGCCGTCTTGGAGGCCTCTTGCGGGCCTTATGGGCCGTCTTAGACCATTTTGAGGCCATCTTGGGCCGTCTTGGAGGCATCTTGGGGCCATCTTAGCCGTCTTGGAGGCCATCTTGGGCCGTCTTGGAGACGTCTTGGAGACCATCCTGGGCCAACTGGAGGAAACAGAGGCATGACGGACGCGTTTTGTGGATTTTCCGGGTGGCCGGCGGGACGGGCTGAAGCCCCAGGGGGAGTTCTTTTGGACAAAAAACCAAAACCAAAACCGAGAGGGTCCAGCACGCCAGGCACCCCTGCGATGAATCGACAGGGGGCGGCGGATCGAAGACGCCTACGGCGAATCACCGCCTCCCCCTGCCTTTTTAGAAGCGCCTATGTGGCCGAACGTTGAGACCAGACTTGCCAAACTATCGGACCATGTGTTCCACGAATCGGTTTGCCGTCTGGAGGCCATTTTGACCCTTTCGAGCCTTTTTGGAGGACGTCTTGGAGGGCTCTTGGGCCGTCTTGGAGGCCATCTTGAGCGTCTTGGGGGTCTCTTGGGCCGTCTTGGGGGCCTCTTGGGGCCGTGTCTTGGGCCTCTTGGGCGATCTTTGGGGGCACTTGGGCCGTCTCGGGCCTCTTCGGGCCTTCCTGGAGGCCCTCGTGGAAGCCGCTTGGGCCGTCTTGGAGGCCTCTTGCGGGCCTGTCGGACCGTCGTAGACCGTCTTGGGTACATCTTGGGCCGTCTTGGAGGCATCTTGGGGCCATCTTAGCCGTCTTGGAGGCCATCTTGGGGCGCCTTGGAGACGTCTTGGAGACCATCCTGGGCCATCTTGGCCGTCTTGGACGCCATCTTGGGCCAACTGGAGGGAACAGAGGCATGACGGATGCGTTTTGAGATTCTTTCCGGGTGGCCGGCAGGACGGGCCGAAGCCCCAGGGGGAGTTCTTTGGGAAAAAGAGCCAAAACCAAAACCCATATCGAAGACGCCTACGGCGAATCACCGCCGCCCCCTGCCTTTTTGGAAGCGCCCATGTGGCCGAACGTTGAGGCCAGACCTGCCAAGCTATCTTACCATGTGTTCCCCGAATCGGTTTGGAAAGCCTTCGGGGAACACGTGGGCATCTTAAGTCATCTTGGCCGTCTGGAGGCCATTATAACCCTTTCGGGCCTTCTTGCAGGACGTCTTGGAGGGCTCTTGGGCCGTCTTGGAGGCCATCTTGGGCCGTCTTGGGGGCCTCTTGGGGCCGTGTCTTGGGCCTCTTGGGCGATCTTTGGGGACACTTGGGCCGTCTCGGGCCGTCGGAAGGCAGAAAAAACGCAAATGCCACAATCCTTCAAAATTTCCTGGGGACATCTATGATTTTGGCCTTTTCGGGCCTTCCTGGGGGCCCTCTTGGGGGCCTCTTGGGCCGTCTTGGGCCAGCTTCGAGCCAACTTCGGCCATCTTGGTGGGTTCCTGGCACGTCTGACGCCGTCGGGAGCCGTCTTGGGGGGCCTCTCTAAGCCGACTTGTGGCCCTCTTGGAATGCTCCAGGGCCGTCTTGGAGTCCATCTTGGGCGTCTTAAAGACCTCCTGTGCCATCTTGGGGGCCTCTTGGGGCCGTCTTGGGGCCCTCTTGGGCCGTTCTGGGGCCATCCTGGAGGCCCCTTGGGCGATCTTTCGGCGATCTTGGGGGGCTCTTGGGCCGTCTCGGGCCGTCGGAAGGTTGAAAATAAGCAAATGTCACACTCCGTCGGAAACCCAAGGAAAATCAATGTTTTTGGCCTGTTCTGGCTTTCCTGCAGGCCCTCTTGGGGGCCTCTTGGGCCCTTTTGGGCCAGCTTCGAGCCATCTTCGGCCATCTTGGTGGGTTCCTGGCACGTCTGACGCCGTCGGGAGCCGTCTTGGGGGCCTTTCTGGGCCAACGGGGGACCCTCTTGGGGCGCTTCGGGGCCGTCTTGGAGGCCATCTTGGGCGTCTTGGAGGCCCTCTTGGGCGTGTTGGAGGCCTCTTGGGCCGTCTTGGGGCCCTCTTGCGGCCGTCTTGGAGGTCACTTGGGCCGTCATGGGGCCCTCTTGGAGGCCTCTTGGGCGATCTTGGGGGCCTCTTGGGCCGTCTTGAGCCGTCGGAATGCCGAGAAGAAGCAAATTCCAAAATCCTTCAAAAACCCATTGGACATCGATGATTTTGGCCTCTTCGGGCCCTCCTGGAGGACCTCTTGGAGGCCTCTTGGGCCGTCTGGGAGGCCTCTGGGGAGCCTCTTGGGCCGTCTTGGGCCGTCTTGGACTCTCTTGGGCCGTCTTGGAGGCCGTCTTGGATCATCTTGGGCAGACTTGGAGGCCATTTTGGATCATCTTTGTCGGACTGGCAGGCCATGTTGGACCATCTTGGAGACCATCTTGAGCTGTCTTGGAGGACAAAATTGGGAATTGAGGTCCGTGGCAGTCCTCCTGGGACCCCGGCAGGACGCGCCGGAGCCCCAGGGGGAGTTCTTTTGGGAAAAAGAACCAAAACCAAAACCTAGAGGGTTCAGCACGCCAGGCACCCCTGTTATGAATCAACAGGGGGCGGCGGATAGTTTGGCACGCCAAGCACCCCTTTGATAAATTAAAAGGGGGCGGCGGATCTAGTGGCCTTCGGCCCATCCCGCCGCCGTGCCTGGGTTGTGGGTCAGAGTTCTCAGGGATGTTCCTTCGAGGTGCTCTCGGGAGCCTCTTGGGAGCAATTTTGGGGCCTTTGGGGAGTCTCTTGGGGGCCTCTTGGGAATCTCTTGGGGTCTCTTGGGAGCCTCATGTGGCCTCGTGGGGGCCTCTTGGGGGCTTCTTCGGGCCTCCTGGGAGGCCCTCGGGGCCGAGGGCTCGAAATGTCCGCACGGGTTCCCCATCTGGGCCCCCTCTTGGGGACGTCTTGGGCGCCTCTTGGGCCGTCTTGGGGCCCTCTTGGGGGCCTCTGGGGCCGTCTTGGGGCGCCTCTTGGAACACTTTTGGGGCGTCTTCGGGGCCTCCTGGGCAGTGTTGAGGCCATCTTGGGCGTATTGGGGCACTCTTGGGCCCTTCTTGAAGGCATCCTCGGCCCTCTTGGTCGCTTTTTGGGCCCATGTTTGGCCGGCTGCGCTACCGGAGGACGCGCGCGACACGCCTGGGGAATCCAGGGAAATCCCCGAAAATCACTGACATCCCCGGGAATCCTTGGAAATCCCATAAATTCTTTGTGAAGCCCGTGGACCGGGCTCTTAGAACCTCTTGAAATTTACAACTCTAAACTTCTCAGGGCTGCATGAGCCTTGGGACACTCCATTACACGCTGCAGGCACGGTGGCGAATTTCGGTCGCCAGGGTCAGCCGTATGAAGGGCAGCTGGGCCGAGATGTCCCACTCGTTCTGCCGAACATTCTTTTGTGATGCGGCGTGGACGAGTTATGCGTAAGGAGGAGAGATGGAGGAGTTGGAGGAGGAATGGGAGGATGAGTTGGAGGAGGAGGCGGAGGATGAGTTGGAGGAGGAGGAGGCGGAGCTGGGAGGAGGAGGAGGAGGAGGAGGAGGAGGAGGAGGAGGAGGAGGAGGAGGAGGGGAGGAGGAGGAGGAGGAGGAGGATAATGAGGAAGGAGGAGGATAATGAGGAGGAGGAGGGATAAGGAGGAGGAGGAGGAAAGAGGAGGAGGAGGAGGCGAGGTGGGAGGAGGAGGTGGGAGGAACAGGAGGAGGGAGGAGGAGGTGGGAGGAGGTGGGAGGCGGAGGAGGAGGAGGAGGTGGGAGGAGGTGGAGGAGGAGGTGGAGGAGGAGGAGGAAGATGAGGAGGAGGAGGAGGAGGTGGAGGAGGAGGAGGATAATGATGATGATGAGGAGGAGGAGGAGGAGGAGGAGGAGGTTTCGGAGGAGCCTGGGGAGCGGTGGACGGCGAAGGACCTCCTCGGATTCGCGGGCGAGGAGCCGCCCCCGCCCACGGACTTCAGCAAGGAGGCCCGCCCCCTGCACCAGAAGGGCTGTGCTGTCCAGCTGCCTCCTGCCCCCCCTCCTTCGGTTGAGAGCGTGTGAAGATGTTGCAGGCCATGCCGGAGGCGACGCCAACATCTCTCTACCTCTACCTCACTGTGCGCTGCCCTCAAGGCGCACGCGTCTCTGAGGAGCATCCCGAATTCTAGTGCGGGCTCTGTCCCCAGCGGGTGGGCACATGCAGATAGGCTCTCAGGCACACTCATCCCTTCCACCGATGCGGAGGGATGATTATCGGGTTGACCCGAAATGAGGTCCATCGACAAGGGGGTGGTGCAATAGATCTGTGGGGCTGCAATAGATTAGTGGCGTGCGGCACATGGCGGTGCGCAGATGTATTGCTGGGCTTTCGCGCGCAATGCAGTCGTTGCAATACAATGCAATCCGTTACTTTGGCGCAATACATTTGCAATACATTTGCCCCACATCTAGTGCACCACCCCCTTTCAGCTGGACCCCCCTTTGGGTCAACCAGAGAGAAGAAGGAGGTCCCGGCCAGTGAACCGCGCGTCCGAACCGACGGGCCCGGGCCAACAGGATGACTTGGATCGGCCACGCCAGGAGGGTAGAGCGGAGGGCGGCGGCCCCGTGCATGCACAGCATACAGTCACTGCGCATAATAGGGATGGGCGCCCCTCCCGAGGGTACCATTGCATCCCTGCCTCCTCGGCCCATCCTTGGCGGTTTTCGCTGGCCGCGCTCCGCTCGTCGAAAAGCTTCGACATGGGCGTCCAAGGCAGTTGCATCTTTATCGCGCATCCTTGTGATACGGGCCGACTGTAGAAGCACAGCGGCGAGCGAGGGGGGAGACAGCTACGAGGGGAAGGGGCCTGTGCAGGAGGCGGGGCGGGGCTTCTCAGAAGCCCTCCCGCCGCGTCTTCTGAAGGGGTGGGCTTTCTGCCTCTTCGGGGGAGGCGCGGGAAACCTCTCAGAAGCCCAGGGGGCTTTCCGGGCGTTCGGACAGAGGCCCACCCCTTCTCACTTCCCCCCCCCCCGGTCTCGCCGCCGACCCCGTGGCTCGAGGAGGGGACGGTCCGAGGGTCGAAGCTTTGCTGTTGCGTCCCCGGAGGCGCTTCGGAGACCCGCGGGGGCCGCCGGAGAGCTGCCGAGTCGCGCATCTGCTGCGCCTCGTTCTCGTGGTCTTCTTGCCGGCTCCCCTTCCTCCCCTTCCCCCCAGCACTCATGCACTGTGTGCTGGCGCTGGATGTTCCCGCGTCTGCCGCTGCTCTCGTTCCAGCCAGGTGCAAGTCTGGCCATTGTTCACCGTGTCGATGAACCTGTGGGCATGCATATTTTGTGCATGCATTTAAATGCAACTTCTGATCTACATATCTATATACACACGACACACACACACCGCTTCGCTTCTTCGTCCTCCTCAGCACCGCGTGCAGGGCAGGATGATGAGATGAGGGAGGAGTTGTTTGGTCCTGCCAAACCCCTGCTGCCCACCCGTGTCTCATGTTTGTTGAGCCATTCTCATTTGGCGCTGTCTACCCCCGGGAGCCCCGTGCGTTTCGTCAAGCGCGCGCGGGCAATCTTGGCAGGAGGCGCGGTCTTACCTTTGTCGGGGGAGCGTAAGACCCGGGTTTGCCAGGACTCGGGTTCGCCCTCGTTTTTTGACGACCGCGCCTCGGATTTTGACGAGGAGGAGTCTCGTGGGACGTCTGCAGCGGGAGGCCCCGTCAAAATGCAGGCTCGGCCTCGTCATTTTTTTTGACGACCTCGTCGGGGATTTCCGAGTCCCCTGTACCCAGGTCTTACGTCCCCCTGACAGTAGCCTTAAGTCGGGCGCGTCCCCCTGCAGGGGGACTTTCGACGAAAAATGCACAATACCCCGAAAATGCTCCAAAAAGGCAAACACATGCTCAAACAATAGTCCCCAGACTATTTTTGGACAACTGTTTTTGGTCTTACGTCCCCCTGACTTTGTGGAGTTGAGGAGGGTACTCGCGTGCGGTTCGTGTGTCCGTGGGAGGCACGGGTGGGGAGGCCGTGGGTCGTCGCGGCTTCGGGTCTCGGCGGCGGGCGGAGCTGGGGAAAGGGGTGCCTCATCGGTAAAAAGCAGAGGTCTCCTCCCACCTCCTCCTCCTCCTCCTCCTCCTCCTCCTCCTCCTCCTCCTCCGCTTCACTTCTCCCACCTCCTTCTCCTCCAAAGTCCTCCTCCTCCTCCTCCTCCTCCTGCTCCTCCTCATCCTCCTCCTCCTCCCGCTGGGCCTTGGGAACCAACACAGACGCCAGGGGCGCGCGGCGCCCGCCATAGGCACGCCGCGCGTGCCAGGCGCGCCGCGCGCACCCGGAATGCGCCAGGCGCCCCCAGGCCTGCGTGCCAGCTGCGCCCGGTGCAGCAGATGCGCAACGTGCTGCACGCGCGCCACGTGTGCCACGTACCCAGACCTCCTCGCGACGTGCAAAAATCACGACGCGAGGTTTTTCGTTATTTTCGGCCTCCGGAGGGCCTTCCCGGGCCTGGGGACCGTCAGACAAATATTCAGGATGAGAAACCGGTCCCGGGGAAGGGGTCCGGACCTCTGGGGGTCGACGTTGTGAACAAACTCACGATGTCGGGGGTTTGGGTGCTCCAGCTGCGCCATGTGCGCGACGCGCGCGGAGTGCGCAACTGCACGCGGCAGCACACGTGGGTCAATACGTCGACACCCCCACCGTCCCTGTCAAGCAAAAGCCGCTCCAGAGGTGGTGACGGGGTGTCCAGCATGGCATGCGACGTGTGCACCCGCAATCGGTCAGAGTTTGCTCTTGACAGGGACGGTGTGCCAGCGCACAGCGCACTCGCATGATGGGCCCCCCCTTCCCGCCTGCCAGCCCCGTCGGAGCTCATGCAGAGCTCGCGCGGGGTGCCCGCTCACCCTCTCGACGGGTTGCTGCGGGGTGCCGCCGCGTGGACTCTGCATTGCTCTCTTGACGGGGGTGGTGCAGAGAGGACTCATGGTGCCTCATCGGCGGCCGGTCGAGTGGGGGAGGGGGTGTTTCTTGATAGGGAGCAGAGATGACTCCTCCCCGAAGTGGAGGAGATGGCTGGAAGAGGAAGCGATCTGAGCCACCTAATCACGCCACGAAGGCTGCTGGGATTCGCGGTGTAGTCGATGAGGCGTCTGGGGTCGGCTGGAACGGGAGTGCAACATTTTGGGAAGGAGGGTGGACGGCAGGGAGAGAGGGATGGATGGAAAAGGGAGTGATGGGATGGGGAGTGGGGACAGGGTGAGGAATAGGGACTAGAGAGGGACGGACGGACTAATCCTGGGCACCAGGATGCACTCGAGTGCCTGCTGAGGGTACGCTGCCCGTTCGAATCGCCCTTTGGGTTCAGTATTCTCCTCCTGATGGCGAGATACTCTTTTCGCGCACCACCCTCGTCCAACTAAACAAGTCCACAACGATTGATCCAATGTGGATCTGCAACGGGCTGACAGGTATTATTTTGTCTCGCATGCTTGCTCTACAGCGACCATGTTGGCAACGTGCATGGTAATCTCCAGCATGCTTTGCATTCGGTGTTTGTGCAGTTTACTGCGACTGCACCCCTTCGTCACCGCCCGAAGAGGGGCTCGTCTCTGCAAAGTGAAGGGTGGGCTGACAGAGGGATGAGTTTCTGGATGCCAAGCCCGCGAGCGTAACCTGACGTGCTGCCCAGGTGGAGACGCTGCCGCTACCCCCGATGCAGGCGCTGGACTTGACCAGGCTTGCGTGCCCTTCGTCTTCACGTGGATGCGGGGTCGTGTGCCAACACTACGCCTGCCACGTTAGGCTGGACCCAGAGAGGCACATGTGCCCTGGCACGACCCAGGGGGTTAGGCGCTGAACCTGAGGCGCCCCAAGCGGTCTGACGCGGACGTTCATTTGGTCATACTGTTTCGTCCCCATCGCCCCAGCGGGGCTACGTGCAGGCGTGGGGCATGCGCGAGATATCATGATTTCCGCGAGCATAGGCCCTTAAGAGGAGGAGGAGGAGGAGGAGGAATGAAAGGAGCAGGAGGAGCAGGAAGGGGAGGGAGGAGGAGGGAAGAGGCGGGGCACCTGTTCGAAAGCAGGGCATCCAGTGATCGGGAAATGTTGGATCTCCATCGTTGATGGCTTTAGCGTTTTTGAAGCACTTGTGACAAGATCCATCGCGCCGCGTTATCTGACACTGCTGATCGAAAGCCATCGCTGCTGTACCAAATCCTTCTGGATATGTTGCAGTCCCAGACCAAGGCTCTGTCTGTCTTGCAGCCTCGCCCGTGCGCCCACGAACCAACACATGTGCACATTTTGCTTGCAAGCATGGTGCTAGGGCACGGCTGGCACGACGTGCCTGCCTGCATGGAGACGCCTTCCCGGTTCTCGCCAGGTAGTCGGAGGTGTGCACGCGGGACTCACAGGGTGGAAGGCGAGGCACATCGCCTGCAACAGCCTAGCGCGACCAAGGCATTTCGCGCACCAGCTTTTGACGCCTTGGCTGCCCAGCCATCCCATCTTTCATATCGCGAAGGCCTTACATCTTTCAGCCGGTGTCACCGACCCCGACGGGGGACGACGACGACGATGACGAGGACGAGGGCGAGGACGAGGACGACGAGGACGACGATGACGACGACGAGGACGATGACGATGACGAGGACGAGGAGGACGAGGACGACGAGGGTTTCGACGAAAAACACTCAAACGCTGGAGGATCATTGTTGAATTTACCCTCTAGGGGTGTTCTTGGGAGGTCTCTTGGGGCTCTCTGTGGCCTCTTGGGGGCGTCTCGGGGCTTCTTTGGCGCCTCTTGGGGCCTCCCGGGGGCCTTTGGGCGGGAGGCTCGAAATGTCGGTGGGTCTCCCTTCTCTCGGGAGTCTCTTGGGCCCCTCCGTATGCGTTTGCCTGCGCGTTCGTGGCCTCTTGGGGACTCTTGGGGGCCGTTTGGGGGCATCTTGGGGCCTCGTGTTGGGCCGCTCTCTTGGGGGCCTTTTGAGGCCTCCTGGGGGCCTCTTGGGGCGGAAGGCTCGAATTGGTGGTTCGTGTTCCCCCTTTTGGGCCCCTGTTGGGGCCGTCTTGGTGGGGCCCTCTTGGACCGTCTTGGGGTCATCTTGGGGGCCGTCTCGGGCCGTCTTGGGCCCTCTTGGGGGGCCTCTGGGGCCATTTTGGAGCGTCGGGAGCCCGAAAACGCGAGAACGCGAAAAACATCGAACAGCACAAGGACATCAATTATTATTTGCTTCTTTTGGCCCTCCTTGGGGTCCTCTTGGAGCGCTCTTGGAGCTTCTTTGAGGCCGTCTTGGGGCTTTCTCGGGCGTCTTGGAGCGCTCTTGGAAAGTGATTCCGATTCGTGGGCCCTTTTGGAGCTGCCTTGAGGTTCCTTGGGACGCTCCTGGGGCGATCTTGAGGGCCCCGAAAACCGCCCCCGGGAGTTCTGGCATCCTTGAGCGGAACTTGCCGGGACTTTGCCGGGAGTCGGTTGGGGTACTTTTCGTCTGCGGATCCCCAGGGGCCGCCCCTCGCGCGCGAACTAGACTGTGAACCAGGCCCGTTTGGCCGGCGAATCTTCGTAAGGGATTGGGACGATTTGAGTCTCGGGGTCCTCGTGGGTGTCCTGTTGGAGTTCTCTCGGAAGGTTTCGGAGGCATATTTGGCTCTCTTGAGGCGAAGTTTGTATTGGTGAGGCCCCCCAGCGCGTTGAACCTTTTGTTTTGGAAAGCATGGTGGGCTTCGTGACCAAGGCTGAGGGCGGTTTCGGACGGTCAAGAAAGCCCTGGGCACCGTTGATGAGTTCCTGGTCCCTCCCCCCCAGGCCCCCCCCCTGCGTCCTCCCCTTCGAATGAGATTTTGAGCCCCAGGGGAGGGGGAAAGGGGGAGGGGGGCAGCCAATTGTCTCTCACACGCCTTTTCACCTCTGGACCTCTGGCAAGCGGGTGTCTGCGGATTTGAGATGTCCTTGGACGAGCGCCGTAGTTTTTTCTGGTGCATCCGTACCCTTAGCCGCCAACACTGCTTTCACAACACACACACACACATATATATATATATATATATATATATATATATACTAGAACCACGCGCGCGCTTCGCGCGCGCTTAGGTTCTAGCTAGGATCGTCACCGTCGTCATCATGAACATCACCATCGCCATCACTCCCCCCGCCAGGGCTAATGTACATCGTTTCTGGATGCTTCTGGCCAGAATACGAAAGGAGTTTCTGTAGTTAGAGTCTCTGGGGGAAGTCGCGGGGAAGCTTTTGTTGTATTTGGTGTTGCGTCGCCAGGAGGTCTGGGCTCCCTCCTCCTCGTGTTCCTACCTCCTCTCTGGACGTCCGATGTCGTGATGCTTTCTGTGCGCGGCCCCTGGACCTCTCGACGACTTCCTGGGGATGTGTTTTTTTTTCATCCTGAGTCGTTTTCTGACGGTCCCGGGACCCTGCGAGGGGCCCCCGAAGGCCGAAAATTGACCGAAATCGCCGTCGTGATTTTTCCAAGACGTCGGAGGTCCAGGTCGTGCTTCCCGCCTCCCCAGACCTCCGACGTCGTAATTCTTGCGACCTCGTGCCCAGGAATCGATTGGGAAAACGCACATGGGAAGGCAAGAAATGATGGACCCATCATTTCGTACCTGTGCCTTGATCAGTGGGACGGGCTTCGCACCGCCGCACATCACAAGACACGCTCGAGCGAATCCAGCCGTGGCGACGTCGGGGACTGCAGAAGGTCGCAAGGACACGGAATATGAAAGGAAGAAAGAGAAAGAGAGAGAAAGAGAGGAGAGAGAGAGAGAGAGACAGACAGACAGAGAGCGAAGGAGAGAGAGAGAGAGAGAGAGAAAAAAAAAAAAGAGAGATGGATAGAGAGAGAGAGAGAAGAAGACAGAGAGAGAGAGATAGAGAGGCAGAGAGAGGAAATGGAGAGGAGGCGAGCTTGAGTCAACGAAAGTCGCAGGGAAGGGGGCAGGGGAAAGAAGGCCAGAGAGCGCTGAAGGATACAAATACTGGAACCCTCTTGGGATTTTTTGGGGGGCCTCGTCCGGCCGCTCGCTGGGAGTTTGACGTAGCTTCTTGGGAGCCTCTGAACCTGTCGGGGGCCTCCTGGAAGCAGGTTCGAAGCATTTGGGGGGCCGATTTGGGGCTTCTCGGGGCCTCCTTTGGGCCTCTTGGGGGTCTCCTGGGGCCTCTTGAGGGGCCTCCTGGGGGCCTCCTGGTGGCCTCTTGGGGCGGAAGGCTCGAGCTTGCGGTTCGTGGTCCCCCTCTGGGCCCCCTCTTGGGCCCGTCTTGGGGGACCGGGGCTCATTTTCCCTGTGTTTTTACAGGTTTCCGCGTCATGGGCCTCGGAGGCCGCCGCCTCCGACCTCCCATGGGAGGACGGGGCGGCCAGGGAGGTCCAAAATAGTCCAGGAGGGCCTCCAGAGGCCCCCAAGACGGCCCAAGCGGGCCCCGAGTCGCCGAAAGACCGCTCCAGGACGCCCAAGATAGGCCCAAGACGGCCCGAGAGGCCCCCCAAGGCACTCCACGACGCGTCAAGACGCCTCTCCAGAGCGCTTCCAGAGGCCGAAATCGTCAATTGTACGAAGGTTTTCGAACCATTTTGGCCTTCCAGCCTTTTTGGCTGTCCGACGTTCCAGGACGACTCAATAGGCTCCCAAGAGCGCCGCAAGACGGCCCAAGAGGGCTCCAAGACGGCCCCAGAGTCGCCCAAGACAGCCCAACAGAGCCCCAAGACGGCCCCAAGATGCGCCCAAGAGGGGGACCACGACTCCAAAATTCGACCCTCCCGCTTGAAGAGTGCCCCAGGAGGCCCCAAGGAGCCCCCAAGAGGCCCCAGGAGGCCCCCAAGAGGCACCCAGGAGGCCCAAACGAGGCCTAAAGAGGCCACAAAACAGCCCCGAGGAGGCCCCACAACGGTCCCAAAACGGCTACCGAGAAGCTGCGAAATTGCCTTCACGACGTCCCCGACAGGCCAACCACGAGATCCAAACCAACACCCATGAGGCCTCTGACCCACCACCCAGGGCACGGTGGCGGGAGCAGTGACAGCACTTGTGCACAGCATATTCCGGCGGGAGCCTTCCGGAACACGCTGCAGGAGGAGGAGGAGGAGGAAGATCAGGAGGAGAGAGAGTTGGAGTGGGAGGAGGAGGATGGGGACGAGGAGGAGGAAGAGGCCTCCCAGACAGCTCCAAGATAGCCGAAGAGGCTTCCAAGAGGGCCCTGGGCGGCCCACGAGGGTCCCAAGGCGGTGCCTGAGGCGCCCAAGACGTCCCGAGAGGGCCCCAAGACGGCCCCAAGAGAGGCCCAAGAAGGGAAACACGAACCGAGAATCCGAGCTTTCTACCCCGAGAGGTTCTCGGGAAGTCCCAAGAGGCCCCCAATCGGATCCAAGAGGCCCCCAAGAAGCTCCCAAGAGGGCCGACGAGGTTCCAAGAGATCTCCCAAGGTGGCCCCAAGAGGCACAACTCATTGTTTTACGATTGGGCTTTGACGGGTTTTAATTTTTTCGGCCTTTTGGCATCCCGATGCTCCAAGACGGCCCAAGAGGCTTCCAATACCGCTCCCATATGAGGAAGAGGCCTCCAAGAAATCCCCAAGACGGCCCGCGAGGGCCCCAAGACGGTGCTTGAGGCGCCCAAGACGGCCCGAGAGGGCCCCAAGAGCCCCAAGAGAGGCCCAAGAAGGGGAACGCGACCCAACAGCAGAGCGGTCCCCCCAAAAGGCCCACAGGAGGCCGCAAGAGGCC